GTGTGTGTGTGTGTGTGTGTGTGTGTGTGTGTGTGTGTGTGTGTGTGTGCACTCGTCCAACGTACTGTGATTGATCAAAACAGTTGTTACAAAAGTATTTAGAGAACTTCGGCGCGTACACGACATACACTATAGTCATACTAAATAACCGCGGATTGAATGTCCAGATTTTACTTGAAACATTTATCCGCGGCATATGCAAATTTCCGGCAAGTAGTCGGATCCCGTTTCACGCACAAACAATTATAGCGGATTCCTCACCATGGCTACGTCCCAGACTGGCATAATTACAAGATCACTCTTACCTTTTATACTTTTTATGCGTCTATAAATGTTTATATAATTTATATAAACATACCATTATAACAAAACGTTTTCATTATACATAATACCAAGAGCGTATTATACCAATTATTATTACCAATTATTATACCAAGAGCGTATTATACCATGCAAGAGCGTATAAAGAAGCCTTCTGTACGCCCTTGGTATTATTATGTATAAAGAAAACGTTTTGTTATAATGTTATGTTTATATACATTATATAAACATTTATAGACGCATAAAAAGTATAAAAGGTAAGAGTGATCTTGTAATTATGCCAGTCTGTTTTTTTAAAGGCCTGGGATGGGCTAGCTCTAGTACTATCGCTAGGGACGGGCATGGTTATGGTTGGGCGTTGTCGTTGCAGTGTGTATTTGCCTTACCATTCTGTGTACCTGTGCACACTTGTGTCACGCCAGGTAACCTGTTAAATTCTAGAGAATCGAATGTCGGAATTGTCGTGAGAAATTAAATTTTGGAGAAGAAGCGTGATTTTCATGCCTGTTACAATCATAAATCATTAATCATTAATGATATCAAAGTTGGGAACACTCCTAATGAAGCGTTAGCCAAGCATCAGCAGTAAAATTTACTTGTGCTTACGGAACGCCTACAAGTCCGGTAAACACTCGTTCCCATCCCTCAAACCGCCCTCGGTCGTTTCTGGTGTGCAGGTTAAACTCCGTTTAATTGACTGTATTCTATTTTAAAATTAAGTTTTGAGTTCTTAGATGCCTTATTCATCTTTGTTTGAGTTCTTAGATGCCTTATTCATCTTTGTTTGAGTTCTTATAGATGCCTTATTCATCTTTGGTTTGGTTTGCCTGCATTGCACTTTTGCATTAAATACATATGACTGGGCCATATCCGTCACCCAAACCGCCCTTGCCCGTAAAAGACGTATTCCAAGCTCTCGTTTCACCGTTTAGAATCGAATAGATAACGTATGTGTAATGGTGGCCATTCTAAACGTAAGGCACCACTTTAAAATATAATACAGTCAATTAAACGGAGTTTAGTGAGTTTAACCATAGTTTAAACTGCACACCGGAAACGACCGAGGGCGGTTTGAGGGATGCATGGAAACGAGTGTTTACCTACAAGCCCATGCAGTTAGACAGAGACTTCGACTACCCGATAGTATAGCTCATAGGTTCTATGTCCCCCAGGGTACTGCCGGAACGTACCCTGGGTATGGTCCGGTATACCGGAACGTACCCTGGTCACTATTTGATATGGTTAGGGTTAGGATTAGGGTTAGGGTTAGGGTTAGGATTAGGATTAGGATTAGGGTTAGGGTTAGGGTTAGGGAGTAAGCGTAGGCGACTCCCTAGACTCGTTAGTGGAGTAGGCGAGGTACGGTCCGGCATATTAGATAGTACCAGGGTACGTTCCGGTATACCGGACCGTACCCAGGGTACGCTCCGGCAGTACCCCAGGGGACATAGACCCTCTCAGCGATAGTATACCATATACAGTATCGTATCATTATACACACGCACTCACTATGGCTATATGGCTGTATGACTGCGTTCGAAACTGCCTGATAACATTATTTAGACATTATATTGTGTATATATTCTATTCAGTTCTGTTTCTTTTCCTTGAAAAATGTTTGAGAAATCAGTATTTAATTATTGAATTTTTTACTCGACTCTGTGTCGTATAATAAGAATTAGCCTTAAAACCGCCAAATTAACTCAGACAAACAAATATAATATTAATATGACAGAGAATATTAAAATTTTAATATTGTACAATTGCCATTATAGATTAATTAATACGAAATTAAATACGATATAATATCTGGCATGCGGAGAATCAGAGACAAGGATCACGATACCGTTTTATTGAGAAGCTGCCACTAAGATATGCGATCATGTTACCATGCAGTGTTTATCAATGTTAACTCACAAGAACTTGACTATTACGGAATTAGGCGACAAAAACTCACAGGTCTCACATTAGCTGACCTTGATCATATAGCCTAACTCATTAACCTAGTTAATAAATACTATTAGTGCATGACGTGATAAATCGCTGCAATCTCATTGGATAACGCAGCAGGCACTATGAAGCGATAGTGGCTCGCCTGAGCGGGCATTGTTATTATACGCATTGTGTTTACGTCACGAATCTCCTGCGTCTGGGCGCCACGCAAGAGTAATTTCGAACGGCGGTTGTGTTTGTGTCGAACGTTTTGTTACATCGAATGCACCGGCAAATTAAGGAGTATAAAGAAGGTATATACGCATGAAAAGTAGATTGCATAGTCATGTGATGCACTAAAAACATTAATGCCTGCTGTTGGGGGCACTATGCTCTCATAGTGTTGCTTTGGGAAGGAATAGTGCCCGAGCGGTAGCGACCGGGCACTATTCCTTCCCTCAGCAACACTATGAGAGCATAGTGCCCCCAACAGCAGGCATTAATATACAAATAATTTTATTATAAAACGAACGAAAACGCGTTGGCGCGTCATATGTAACGTTATGTTGAAAACAAACAGAATCACAAACTTATTAATTATTCACGATTAGTGATTTAGTTAAAAATTAATATAAATAATAGTAGCTCATGCTAGCTCGCTTGCAATTGTCTACCACCTTATTATTAAATTCTTCATACAGCTATTACAGCAAGAATAAAGAGAGCAATACTGAGTATCAGCCATTCCGTGGCAGTGTGGTATATTGCAGCCGATCTAGTTGCCTGCGGCAACAGACCAATGATACGGAGCGGGGCGCCAGAACCCCCGCGAATCTTCATGGGGAGACCGATTACCATCGCTCCTGTTGGAGGAAGTTGGTCTAGGTTCGCTACGTTTTCTATCCCTACAATATTCTTCTCGAACAGAATTGTATGAGTTTTGAACGTTTTGGATTGGCCATAATCTAGCGAAGCTGTATCAATCCCGAAGGCTTTGATCTTGCGATTTTCGACTAGCCACTTCGCCGCGTCAGAATGAAGACCAGGAAAATGAAGTATGCTCGTATTCTTTGTGTTCGTGCCAAGATACCTCTCCTTATTTGGCCAGTGCCGCCCCCAACCCGTGTACAAGAATAAAATACCTCCGTCCGGTATCCTGCCATGTTTCTCCTCCCACACACGCAGATCAAGTTCTGTCGCTTGGTAATCTTCATGTCCAGAGACCTTGGCGGTAACGTCTACAACGACGGCATCACCGATCAATCCATCAATAGGAATATGGTCAACTACCCAGGAGCCGCGATAGAAATGGGCAGGGGCGTCGATATGTGTTCCCCCGTGCTCGGCCGCACAGAAGTTATTGGCCTCATAGTAAACTCCGCTCTCTGGCATGACACCCTTAAATGCGACCGTCAGATTAAAGGGTTCAGATGTTGGCCAGTAAATCGTCTCGTTTACGGCAAAGTCATACGTCATGTCGATAATGTTGCGGTCTCCAGCAGGTGGCTTAAACATCTGTAGTGCTTCTCCTGTTGCATCTACTCGGGTCATGGCAACCATAGCCAAGACAAGGACGTTTACTCCGTGAGCCATATTACCGATCTGAAACAAAAGACACCTGAGCTTGTACCATATATATATCATCAAGAGTACATAATAGAGATTATGTACCTCTATGGATCTCTATAATATACTATGAATATACTATATAATATAGTATATATGTACTATAATATACTACATAATATACTATAATATATATATATATATATATTTACAATATATATTATGTACTCTTGATATCATTCACCATTTATCGAAATACACAATGCCATGTATGTTATGTTAGTTGGCTTTCATATGTTATATTAGCTACGTTATAATTATATGTTTAGTTATGTTATATGTTATATATGTTACATAGCTTACATTAGTTAGTTAGTTAGTTAGTTAGTTAGTTATGACATATTCTGATTTGAAATAGGCTTTAGTAAATAGGTTTCATGTATTACTTTAACGCATTGAAATCATGACATCAAATTCTTAGTGAGATATAAAATAGTTCGTATCCCCTATATCATTATCCTTATCCTTCCATTATCCTATCGTCATTATCTATATAGTTCCCTATTATCTACTTCTGATGCACACACATCCCATTGCAATATGTCCAATGTTAATCCTGAAGATGTGTAATACACACAATCTTCATCTGACAGGGCTATATAACCTGGTTATTATAGTAGCAACACCCAATACACCATGCAAATACTGAATGCTAGTGCTACGACACAGTGAAGTGCACCAGTAAAATCACGTAGCCATTAAACTAATGCTTGAATAGTAGTTGGGTATATCTTAGTAACAGCAGCGAACACAGAAACAGTATAGCCCGTTTGCCATTTAACCATTCCGCTTATCATAATTAACTATCCAGTCAGCTTATTATTCCAAGGTTCAATAGACGATCTTCATTGATATATTTTCACCGCTGTTTTCTTCGTCCTATATGTAGTATTATAAGTAAATAGTAGAGGAGACGCGGACAATTGTAACACGGGGCAAATGTAACAGAGACCCTCATTCCTAGTAGAAACGTGCTATATGTATACGCTCTTCACAGCGCATGCACATTTCATTGCCCCATGCTGTCCTGGGGTAGGCAGGTTTACGCATCGAGGAACATTTGACAGCCAAAACATCGTTTTTTAGCAGTAAGTAAAATCTCGAATTACCTAATGTTTTTTTTCTGGACAAATATGTACTTGAGC